CGTGCGGGGGCTGGAGGCTTGCAATGGCAGATCCTCGGGCCACCAAAGCTGAAGCCACCGGTCACCGTGGTATGCCTGTGTCCCTCCAGCCCATTACTCTCCCACTGGATTTTCCCGTTGGTCAGGGGGCGTCTTTCATCCACACCCAGGCAGCTGCTTCTTTGTTGTTGTTAGCTTGGTTTTTCGAGACAAGGTTTCCCTGTGCAGCCTTGGCTGTCCTGGATCTCACTCTGTAGCCCAGGCTGGCCTCAAATTCAGAGATCCGCCTGCCTCTGCCTCTGAGTGCTGGGATTAAAGGCGTGCGCCACCGCCACCCAGCACACTTAGGCAGCTTTTAAGTCCAGACAGCCCTGCTCAGAGCCCAGCCAGTACTCGGGAGCTCCCTAGTGGTTGCCTGCCCTGCACTGGCTGAGCAAGTTACTCTGGGACCCCGACCCTGGCCGGGGCACAGTGGTCAGGGACACAGACTGGATTCTGTACCAGTTTCTCTGCCTTTGTAGGAGGCTCCTGCACACCACACATTCTGAATCTCAGGACAGGGAGAGTAGGACTCCCCACCATTTGCTGGTACCTAGAAAGTGAGCCATTACTTGACCCTGTTTACCCATTTTCAGGGCCCATTCAGGGACCCCCAGGAACCCCACTCACCACCCCCATGGACAGCACGGAGTCTTGAGAGGGCTGGACTCTGTGGTGTAGCTTCTGTGTTGGCAGCCACACCCCTGAATTCTGACCCAGATGTGAGAAGATGGGGGACTCATGGCCCTGATGTATGGCTCTGGGTGGGGGGATGGACCCAGGCGCAGCCCCAGGAAGGTGATGCACACAATTACAGCTGACCGGGTCACTCCTGTCCTGCCATAAATGACAGTGAAAGAGTAGGTCTAAGGACAGTGAGGTCTAGCCTGGGCTGTGGCCTGGGCAGGGAGGAGAACAGGACTCTGGTAAGAAAGGTGGGTCAGGCCAGGACTGAAGGAGGGGTCCTTGCTAGCCAAGGTCATGCCAAGGTTCTGGCCTTTGCTGTCCAGTTGACAAAATTCCCACGACTGGGGGACGGGGCTGAATGGCGACTCCTATTTGCTGGGAGCCTGGGTTGTCCTGTTGGCTGTAAGCTGCTGACACAGTAAGCTTGTCCCATTCCTGGGAGGTCTGGGGTGGGGTGGATAAGGGACCCAACTGTGTCAGCTCCTTGGAAGCATCCAATTCCAGCATGGCTGGGCCAGCGCTGGGGCACCTGAGAGGGTTTGAGGGATGGAGGGGTTGGGGATTCATATTTCCCCTCCTTCATCGACAGTCATTTATTGAACATGCACTGTTCAGCCCCAGCTCACAGTGAGCAGGACAAACTCTGTCCACTCTACTCCCATGGGGCCGTGTCTACTGGGGCTGGGCACTAAGGGTGTAATTATTATTATTATTATTATTATTATTATTATTATTATTATTACTATAAATGTAGAGAGGTGGCATATATGCACATGTGTGTGTATGTGGAGGCCAGAGGACCTCAGCTGTTCTGCTCCGTCACCTTGTTGAGACCAATCTCTCACTAAGCCTGGACTTAGACAAGTGACCGACAAGCCCTAGTGATCTTCCCATGCCCCTCCCTCCCAGCTCTGCGGTCACAGGCATGACATGGCCATGGGGGCCGAGGATTTGAACTCAGGTCCACATGCTTGCACAAGTGCTCTTGCCCACTGAGCCGCCTTGCCGGCCCCTGAGTAAGTACTATTTGATTTCAAGGACAGGATATGCAGGAGTTGGTATCGACTGGGGGTGTGGGGAGCAGAGGCCCCACAAATACAGAAATCTATTCACACCCTGAGGTAGCAAGGGTGGGGCTTTTGGGTGGCCTGTAGGCAGGCTCTGGGGCCACAGCTCCAGAGGGAAAAGGAGCCAGCAGGTGAGGCTTTCAAGGGAGACGTGAACAGAGTCCCAGACTAGGGGAACTCTGGGTCTTGCCCCAAGTCTGTGGGAGGTGGGAGGCCTATGGCTCCCGCGGTGCGGCCACACCTGAGCCAGCCTAGGTAGGATACTGATGTTCTGGGGAGCCCCAGGTGGACCATGGTCTCTGAGGAGAAGACAGATGGAGGCTGAGGTTGTGGAGGGCAGCACTTGACCTTGGACATTCTGTATGCACATGGGCAGGGAGGAAACCGAATATGGAGGCCGTGGTCAGGGGTCAAAGCCCAGGATAGCAGATAGCCACTAGGCTGCGGCTCCATTGGCTCTGGGCTTTGATCCACTCTGGCCTTTACATTCAATGGGGCCTGGCTGGCCTGGCCATGGGCTTCCAGAGGGAACGGATGGTCTGACTGAGGGGAGGGGCAGATGGGGCTGCGGTGTGGGGCGGTGTTCCCGGAATCCCAGATCAAGCCGTAATAATTTGTTTCGGAATTAATGTGGGTTCACGCCATCTTTGCTGTTCCAGCTCAATGAAGATAAAATAAAAATGTGACTCCCCTCCCCCAAATGGAGGGAGGGAGACCAAGTCTAATTGCGCCAGCTGGGCCGGCCGCCTGAAGCCACCACTGGGAATAAATCTCTCAGGGAGGGCCACTTGGCCTTCCTCGGTTTCTATCCAACAGGGCCTGGTGGCCCTAGGCACTGCCGTTTTATTTAGCTAAGAATCTTGTATTGTGTCTGGATTTAGAAGCTCTGTCCTCCCAGGGCTGAGGTCTCACCAGATTTCACCACCTCTACGGCAGGGGCATGGCCAGATATTCACAGTCCAGATTCTTGGTGCTGGGTACCAGGGAAGGGCTCAGCAGTGACCACCTCTGGCTACAGTGGAGAGCCCAGGCCTTTTGGGGGAAGAGCAGCGGCTTTTTGTCTCATTTTTGGGGACCCAATCCAGGGAAGCCAACTGAAGCAATATGCCCTCCCCAACTCACTCATTCTTCCATTCACGCATCGTACATGCAGCCGATGAACGCTTTTTATACGCCTTCTTTGTGCCAGACTCTGAGGGTAAGAGGTGGCCAGACAGGTGGACAGGCGGACAGGCAGACAGGCGGGCTTCCTGTCAGGGTCACCAGCTTTGTCTTACCATGCCTCAGGTTTAGCATGCTCTCATCTTGGACCATCTTCTCTGACGTTCCTTTCTCCTCAATATTTCATTTTATTTCATGTGGCTCATCAGGTTCAGAAGAGGAGGTATTAATCCAGCATGTTTAGAGTTATAGGAAGCTGACAGAATGTTCTTTTTGTTTTTTTTTCAAGATCGTGTTTCTCTGTGTAGCCTGGGCTGTCCTGGAACTCACTCTGTAGACCAGGTTGTCCTCGAACTCACAGAGATCCACCTGCCTCCGCCTCCTGAGTGCTGGGATTAAAAGTGTGCGCCACCACCACCTGGCAACTGAGAACATGTTCTAAGAAGCAAAAATAACTCCTCATGTTCTGGCGACATGTGACTGCCTGCCGAAGCCTCAGTCCTGGACTGGACGCGGGGTCGACCTCAGCCTCTTTCTCCTGGCCACATGTGCTCTGCACAGCACGTCAGCTGGTCTCACGTTTTAATAAGTTGTCCACACATGCCTTTGGGCTGATCAATCAGCTCTACCATCGTTCAGTCTGACCTGGACCACCAGATGCCTCCATCTCCAAGGGCGGATTATAACATCCTCTGAAATAGTTAGCTTATGAAGTGCTGAGGACTCCAGGGCTTCCTGTGTGCTAGGAGACACCCTTAGCCCCAAAATCAAACCAGAATCTAGGGCTTTGAGCATGCTGGACCGGTGCTCTGCCACGGAGCCATGTGGGCAGCGCCTCCTGGAGTCTCTGGTCAGGGGAATAATGCAGCTGGGGGCCAGGAAACCAGCGTTGCAGGTACAGGTGTGGCGCGGCTCATCGGTGTCTGCATTAAGGAAGCTCAGGGTCCACTGGGGAAACACAGGCAGAGCCTTGTTGTCGACAAGGTTCTGAGCCTTGTGAGGCCGAATCTGAGTCCCCACAGTGAGGTGCTAAGAGGGTGGAAACTTGATCTGTGATCTGTGGTAGCTGGAGGCAAGTTGGATTATAAATAAAAATGGCCTGATGTTGATCTCTGACCTTCACACTCATGTTCACATGTACACACACACACACACACACACACACACACACACACACACACGCGCGCGCGCGCACGCACACACGCACATGCACACGCACACGAACACGCACATGCACAAATGATGTACCCTAGTCCATAACATAGAAAATGGACTGGTAGAATCTCCAAAATCTTTAAAGGACTCAAGCACTCAGTGACATGAATTCCCCAGATAATAACAGGGCAATGACCCACATGGACTTCTCACAGCAGTGACAAATGCCCCACTGTTCCCATCAGGGAACACGGGACAGCAGGCCCTGCTCTGGGCATCCGTCCACACTGACCTTCAGTCGTGGCTCTGAGGCTCCCGGGGGGTCTCACTGTGCCTCTGGCTTCAGTGGCATCTTGGACACAGGGTCATTACCAGGCCCTGGCACCTGTAGAGTGGCAGAGGCCACCCTGGTCCTCACTGACAGTGCAGAGAACCTGTTCTCCGGGGCTCTGGCCATTTCCACCCTCTTTTAATTAATTAAAATACATGTCACCCAGGTGACAGCCACATCGCTGGGTGCCAGCCGCTCGGCGGCCCCCAGAACATGCTTTGACTTTTGTTGTAGGCCTCAGCCAATGGAGGTTCTGTTCCGGGGCCATTTGGTCAGGGCTGAGGAGCAGATGGCTCAGGCAGGGTGGTCCCACAAACTGGACGGGAATCTCACCCCCATTCCAGCAGCGGCACCAGACCACATGCAGCTGCCACAGGATGGGAAATAGGAACGCCTGGTGGGCCCCCATATCTCAGTTAGTTTTTTTTTCTTTCAGAGCTGAGGACCGAACCCAGGGCCTTGCACTTGCTAGGCAAGCGCTCTACCACTGAGCTAAATCCCCAATCCCGTCTCGGTTAATTTTCTTAAAGAATTAGTTATAATTCTGTAGATGTGAATGTCTGTGTGTGGGTATGTGTACATGTGCAGGTGCCCATGGAGGCATCAGATCTCTCAGGCATGTGTGAACCGCTGATGTGGGTGTTGGGTCTTGAACTTGGGTCCTACTCTTAACCTCCGGGCCATCTCTCCAGCCCCTACATCTGGTTAATGCTTTAGAGCTCGTTTCCTTCCGGTATCTTGCAGGAGAGGAAGCTGAGGCCCAGAGTTCTGAGGGGAGACGTTGGGAAGAAACTGTAATCTGCTCCCTCCGGAGCCACCCGCTGTCACTCTCTGCAGCAGGCTCCTTCCACAGCGCCCCGAGAGGGACCCGAACTGGCCCTCTGGACTTCCGGCTGGGTCCCTACTGTGTGCTAGCAGTAGCTTCCTTTGAAGGGAACTCGGACCCACCCCGCCTCCCGCGTGCGCGCAGCAGGTTGATGGGATCCGAAGCGGCCGGTAGGCAGACACGGGGATCCAGCTGGGAGGGGTCCCCTCTGCAGCACGGCTTGGGGCCGGTTCTCCTTCCGGGCCCTCAGCACCGCTGCAGGTCTGTGGCTGCAGAGCTTGCTCGCTCCCCGGGTGGAGGCAGGAGGCGGTGGGTTTGAGGCAGCTTGGGCTCCAGGCCAGGGAGCTGTGAACTAACAACTCCAGTGACGACCACACCACAAAACCAAGACAGACAACAGCAAAGACCAGCAGGAAGAAGAAAACTGTTCGTCCGGCACCTGATGTTGTCTGCCAGCTCTGCCACCTGCCTGAGAATACGGTGCCTTCCCTTCCCCACCCCCCAGCCAGGTTCAAGGACACAAAAGCTCACCCGCCCTGGAGCGCAAGGGGCGAGAGCCTGGGCTGCTTCTCTGGCTGCGCGCCTCTCCCCAGTGGTCCCCATCTCCCGGGCAAACATATTTATTGGGTTTGATGGCAAACACATTATGCTTGTCCCAGGAAGGGCACTTCCAAAGAGAAAACCTTGAAGTCCGGGAAATAATGATGGGGAGTTAAATTAAACTGCATAAAACCCTCCCGAGAGATAACGTCAGGGTGAGTTACAGGCCCGATAAGGGACTGGGGTTCTCAGAGGGGGGCTCAAAAGGTCGCCCAGCAGTGCACAGAGGACCAGGAATCGTAAATATGGGGGCAAGATCCCCAGCTGGGGTTGCTGGGGTGAAAATATTGGGGTCATTCCAAAAACAATTATCCTGCTTTACTTTTCACATCTTGTAAATCTTTTGCCTTTTGTTAGAGATTTCTGGAGAGAGACATACTTTGGAAGCTTTAACCGATTTTGTAGCTGCTTCTTGGTGGTCGAGCTAAGAGCGAACAGAAAGACAAAAGGGGAGAAGTAATTACCCAGCATCCTCAGGGGCATAGGGATAGTTGACAAGCTCCATCCTATTCTTTGGAGATGTGGGGCTCTCCTGGGGTTTGGCTTACCCCATTTGGAGCCAGGATGCAACTTAACGATTAATTTTGTTTTGGATGTGGTTATATTGGGGCTCTTGCCTCAGTTCCAGCCCCCTTTGGGCGGACATGGCAGCTGAGAGACAGCCATCTTGGCTCCTGACTGAGTGTGAAGCCACCTGGCTGATGTTGCTGTCACCTTGGTGGCATGTACTAAGGCTCCTGTCCCCACAAAGAGCCCGTGAAACTAGAGAATGGGTCCAGGCTGTGGCTAGCCCTGTCCGTTCTCACGGCTCTGGGTCCAGCTTTCTTCTTTCCCCATCCGGTTCCAGGTTGGAACAGCAGAAGGTCACAATTTATCTTATAAATACTTATTGGCACCTGGGACAGGGCGACTCCTCTTCCGGAGGCCTAACCACCTCAGGCTGGCTATGAGCTTCGCTTTGTAGGCAGCCATTCATTAGGTTTCTCTGTCTCCTTTCTCGAAGCACAGGGCTTTGACAGCTCAAAACAGGCTCTGGGAGCCCTGCAGGAAGGGACCCTGTGGTCACACACCACAGTGTTGGGCAAACCTCCGGGCCACAGTCTCTCTGGGGGCCCTGCAGGAAGGGACCCTGTGGTCACACACACCACAGTGTTGGGCAAACCTCCGGCCACAGTCTCTCTGGGGGCCTCTAACACCATGCTGTTTCTCCCTAAACCTATGCTTGTCCCTGAACTCAGGGGTCGGATGTGCCCTCTGGGAGTCAGAGCTCAGGCAGACTAGCCACAGAGGCGTGGCTGTGGCTTGGGAATCTGGGTGGTCTGGTGGCTCTGGCGTCCTCAGAGAAACAGTGTGGCTTGGCCCTTATACACTAGCTCAGCCAGAGCCTCACAGTACCCAACGGCACGTCAGATCGCGTGTCGCCTGCCAGCATTGGCTCCAAGGGCTGCTCCTAGGGGCTGCGGGGTTCAGAGTCACCCCGCAGAAACCCTGCATGGCTGTGGACAGGCGGCGGGGCTGAGGTGACTGGGTCAGCTCAGGTAGGCTTCTTGGAGGAGGAGGAGGAGGAAGAGGAGGGCATGGTGTTGGCTGGTAATAGCCCTGCTTAACACATGCAGGGGGGCTGTGAACAGTAAGGTTCTGGAAGGGCAGAGAGGCTGGTTCAAATCCTGGGTCAGTCCACTCTCAGCCCCTGTGTACCTTGGGAAGACAGAAGGACTCTCCAGCCCTACGTTTCCCATCACTACGAAGGGCTAAGGCAGAGGGCTGAGTGTGGTCAGCTGACCAAGGCAGTGGCTGCTCGCTCTACATCGCTCCTAAAAGCCAGAGACGAAAACACTCCCTGACCTGAAAGAGCCCAGCTGGACGCTCCTGTGGGCCTGGCAGACATGACTTCACAAATCAGATGTGACAGGTCAATGTGTGCCAAAATGGTGGCCAGCTGCTTGGCTGGGAGGAGGGATGCTCAGAGACCAGGACATGTCCTCTGAGAGAAGACGGCCGGCCTGGGCGCAGTGCAGGTGTGCAGGTGGTGCTTGGCCGGCTGGCTTGCCCGTGCTTTAGAACCAACACGTGTGTACACACACACACACACACACACACACACACACACGCACACACGCACACACGCACACACACGCACACACATGCACAGAGTGCATATAAAGACATGTATGGACACACATGTGTTCATACAGGGATATAGACACACATGAACTTACACATACAAACTCATATATCATAGGCATACATAAATACATACATACTGACTCTTAGTTCAGGCACACACAAGTACATACATAAGCATGAGGCCCAACCTTCCCTATGGATGCAAGTCAAGCGTCTGCACATGCACACAGGTGTATGCTCACTCTTCCTGCCACACCCCGCGGCTGCTGCTGGGTAAGCTCTTTTTCCCTCAGGTTGCCTGCCTGGAGTGAGAACCAGGGGCAGATTTCCAAGGGTCTCCCCCTTCTGGGCAAACTCCTTCCTCTTTGGGACCTGTCACTGCGGACCTGTGTACCAGCTGCTGCTTTGGAATTGAGAACAGTTTAAAACACTTAGAGACATCCACCCGCTGTCCCCTGGTGCTCCGCCCTTGTCCTAGAAGAGCTGCCAGTCAGAGCTGTCCCTCCTCACACCAGGGATTGCCTGGGGGTGAGCGCGTGACTCACGCTGGCCCGGGAGGGTACTGGACTGCCTTGTCCCTTGTGGGGGACACCCTGCTCGGGGGTGGGACTAGGCACAGGTAGACAGTGGCACTGAGGAGGTCACCGCAATACATGTGGCCGACACAGAGCCTGGTTGTGGTGTGGCTCCCAGGGGGAAGTTTGCAGAAAGAGCAGAGTCCCGTCGTCACTGAGGGTTCCTCACAGCTGCCCAGGCAAGGCACATGAAAGAAGCTAACAATTTTGGGGTAACAGAAGGAGCCCCCTTTCTGAAGACCCTGCGCAGGAGTCTCTGCACACTGATCTTTGGCTCCTTCCTCTGGTCATGCACTTGGTGAATATCCTTGGGGCTCCTTTTCTGGGAGTCTGCTACTCAGACGTTCACCCATCGGCTCCTCAGCTCCTCCCATACAGATGGGCCAGCAGCCGCCTGCCACAGAGGCAGGTCAACCGCACATGGAGAATGGGAGCCCCAGGACTTGGTTCCTAAGAACAGGATCAGGTGCCGTCATTCCTGTCTCAGGGCCCTCCTGGGGGTGGAACAGGCAGGCACCAGGAGACTCTGGTAGTGAAGGTGCTCCTCTTGGGTGGAGAATGCTCATGCTTAGCCAGCGGGCCCTGTTCTCCAGGCATGGGTCAGGCATGAGACCTGGAGCCTGAGCTGTCCAGAGTGTGGCAGCGACTCACAGCCCGTGACACAGAGATGCTGGTTGGAGCCCAAACTGAGTTATCCCTGTAGGTTCCATATCTGTCCAGGAGTGACAGGAACTCAAGCTGTCCATGCTCTCACTTCCTGTCTCCACAGGAAGTTTCTGGCTTGCACTCTGCCTCTCCTCTCCTGAGTGCTGGGATACCGTTTGTGTACCACCCAAACAGGTTTCCATATCACTGGGAATGAAGCCAGGGCTTCATGCGAGGTAGGCAGGTGCTCAGTGTACTCTGGCCTAATCTTCAGCCTTTCCTGTTTCATCTAGGGATAACTTGCACACATGGCCAGGCAAGCCTTTGCAATGAAGGCTTCGTTTAGGACCAGCAGCCAATGCTCTGGGGCCTGCCTGGGCACTGTCTCCCGAACTCTTCTGCCCTGTTTCACAGATGGGTCCTCAGAGGGACCCTGGTGTGGTGACTCAGAGCAGCCCAGCCTGTACCTCAGAGAGACCCCATACCTGGGCCTTCTTGCTAGGTGAGAAATGACTAGGGCCTTTCCTGGCTGCTGCTGGCCTGTGCCAAGAGCAGAACTCACGGACCATTCACAGGCTTTGCAGCCATCTCTGGGTCCCTGATGGCACACAGTCAAGGCTTTATTAGGATCTGGGGCTCCTGGGCATGAAGAATCATAATAAGGATGCTGGCTGCGGCTGGCTGCGGCTGCTGCAGCTCTGCCCTGTAGTAGATCTGGCACGTGTGGTCCTGGAGCCTGGCTGCACTGCTCACATCCTTGCTTAGATGTTGGATTCCCAGGGATCTGGCTGGGCACTTAGCTGCTTCCTGTTCTCAGGGGATGTGCCCCGCCAGGCTGGCATCAGGACTCTCAGGAGGCAGGCTGGAGACCCTGCTCCCTAGTCACATGCTGTCCAGGCAGGTCGTTGTAGAGTCTGGAGTCAATGGAATCGGGAGCTGTCCATGGCTCCTGTGGTCCAAGTCTCCTCTGCTCCTTAAACCAAAGTGGAAGGCACCCTTGTCCTTAGCCCTGTGCTATGTACCCTGAACCCAGAACAAGGCAGGTACCCCACTCTCTGCAGCACCCCCCAAACTTCTCCTTCCCTGTGTCTTCATCTGCATATGACCTTGGGCAAGGTGACAGGCACGGCCAAGCATGTCAAGAGCCCCATGCAGGCAAACGGCACAGCAAACCTGAGCCCGGCAGTGTAGCCGCCGCAAAGCCAAGTCTCTTGTCCTCGAAGCACCTCGTGTGGGGACCCTCCACTCCCCAGGGAAGCCACCAGTCACAGCTGATGTCCCCATGGGGACTGTAGTCTTCCAATAGCTCCCCAGCATGCCAGGGGCTAGCCAAAAGAATAACACCCTAAATGAGGTGGGCATGAAGATTTGTGGTAACCTTGCTTCTAGAACTTTCTTAATTTACCGCTTCTTCCAGCTGTTTTTTTTTTCCTCCAACACACATCAGTTAAGTTCTTAACAGTGAAGGGCTTGAAGAATGCTAAAAATTTAATATATGTTAAGAGGGTATTAAATTCTAAACTAAAATTTGCATGGAAATACGACATTAAAATATTTTTAGCTTTCAGGAAGCTGGGGGCTGTAACACAGGCAGATTTTATCTGTTTAAAAAGAATTAGCTTTCCAGTGTTTCTCCCGGATCTCGGAGTTAACGTGTGAAGATACGAGGCCTGCCTGAGGCTGCTCGGCTGATGTGACAGGGAGAGAAGCAGGGCCAGGGGCTGGGGCCCTTGCTGCACCCCAGGCTGCCCTGCGGGAGGCCCTGCTGCTGGGGGAGGTGTGGCCAGTGTGTTCTCCAAGAGTGTGTGGCTGGGCCACATGGCTACCAGTCCCCTGCCCTACTGCACACACACCAGGCCTGGGCCGTCACTGTAGTCATGGTGGGGAGCTGTCATGTCTGTGCGGACAAGGGGGGTCAGAGGCTGGGCCATGGGTCTGGACTCACAGAGTATAGGGAGGTAGATGTTAATATTCTCTGTGGAATCCTTGGCTGGCTCCCTGGTGCTGGAGCAAGGCCCAGTCTTTTCTTTCCCTCGCAGAGCTGGTTTCTTTAGGCTGAACCCCAGTACCAGGTTCATTGCTTTTATTTCACAGAGGCCAAGGCGATTAAGACAGGTGTCCTGATCCCTGGCTGCAGAGGAGCAGGGCTGCGCTGCCACGCTAGAGGCCACCACTACCTCCTGGTCACCTCGATGAGGCTGGGCGGCAGCTGCTGTGGTGTTCAGGAGAGGGCACAGCTGGCAGTGCCCTGGCCCCGAGAGAGAGCCGGCTGGCAGGGGGTCTTAGGCGGAAATGGCCACTCACGGCCTCTGCACCTTGGGGAGGTTCCTCATTGGCAGTTAAAAATCTACTGTGACTTGTCAGAAAAATGAATAAATGGTGCATTAACTTTTCATTCCAGACCTCAGCCTGTGTTTGTCTAATCAGGAGGTGAGCGGCGGCCACCGCAATGGGAGCTTTCCTGCCGTCAGAGGAGTTGAACTGCACACTGCACAGGCTGCAGCCACTTGAAACACAATCCCATTGTGCGGAGAACTGGCCTGGCGACTCCCTGGTGGTCTTCGAGTCTGGCCTGGCAGAGGAGCCAATGGAGACAAATATTCACGCCTTAGCCCTCCAGCCCACACTCCTGCCTTCTGGCCCTCATCAGGGGGCTGGAGAAGGTGTGGGGGTGCAGAGACACGAGGGGACATGAGCTGGCTAGTTTTTGTCAGCTTGCTGCAGACTAGAGTCGCTTGGGAAGAGGGACCTTCTACTGAAGCTCTACCCTCATCCCACTGGACTGGAGACAAGCCTGCAGGGTATTCTTTTGATTGATGATGGATGTGGAAGGGACCAGCCCACTGCCATCCCTGGGCTCGTGGTCCTGGGTGCTGTAAGAAAGCAGGCTGAGCAAGCTAGTGAGCAGCACCCCTCCATGGCCTCTGCTTCAGTTCCTACCAATGGGGTTCCTGCTCTGGCTTCTCTCATGGTGGACTGTGACACGGAACTGTAAGCTGAACAAACGCTTTGTCAAGTTGCTTTTGGTCACAGTGTTTACCACAGCAACAGAAAGCAAAGGTGGACAGGACCCCAAGTGGCTTCCCTTTCTCCAGCTGTAAAGTGAGGGAGAGCTTGGCCTGGGGTGGCCAAGATTCATGAAATAGAAATGAGTCTGTAGACTCTGGAATGCAGGCAGGGGTGGGCACTGGTCAGGATCTTCAAGGCAGGGTTGGTAAGATGGCTCAGTGTAAAGGCCCTTTCTGCCAAGCTTCATGATCTGAATTTGATGCCAGGACTCACATAGCTGAAGGACAGAACCAACTCCTACAGCTGCCCGCTGACCCCACAGGTGTGTGCCTGCCACCTAGAAAATAAAACAATGTAATAAAAATAGTTTCAAGCTGTGTGGTGGTGGTGCACACTTTAATCCCAGCACATGGGAGGCAGAGGCAGGTGGATCTCTGTGAGTTCGAGGCTAGCTGGTCTACAGAGTGAGTTCCAGGACAGCCAGAGATATACAGTAAAATCTTGTCCCAAAAAACAAATTTTTTTTTTCAAAAATTTCCAAGGATAGTTACTGTCCCGTGTGGGATGTGGCTCTCGTCATGACACGATTTGGGGTATCTGGATGGGTGGTATAAAAATGTTTCCCTGTTATTTATGAGTACAGTGTTTTGTCTACATGGATATCTGTGTACCACACGTGTGCCTGATGCCCATGGAGGCCAGAAGAGGGCACAAGATCCCCTGGAACTGGAGTTACAGACTCTTGTGAGTTACCATGTGGGTGCTGGGAATTGAATCTCAGGTCTTTAGGAAGAACAGCCAGTGCTCTTAACTGTTGAGCCATCTCTCCAGCCCCTTATGTGGATGAGTTTAACCTGAATAGTCACATATTTATTTCAGGGGACCAGAGAACACACAGTGCTCACTAAATCCTGACGGCATGGCTCTGCTTGTTTCGAATGGCTTTGAAGGTTAGAGGCTGCTGGTCTGAATGAAAAGATGTTCAGTTGTAGGCAGGGTGCTCCTGGGGTGGCCGACACTGGGGAAGCGTGCTGTCCATCCTCGGTGGCTACCCTTCCTAGGCTCCCTGGAGTGTGTCCTCTTGTGAGCCCGGGTGGAAGAATGTGAGTGGAAGTGGGCAGTGTCCCCTCCTCCAACCCTCCTTCCCAGCCCTGGCCTTTGTGACAGTCTCAGGAAGCTGGACCCATGACTGAGTTACACAGCTTTGATGGACACTCAAGTTAGCACAAGGAGCCCGGCCCATTCTTATTTATTTATATTCAATTTTTTCATTTATTTTATATGCCAACCACAGTTTCCCCTCCTTTTCTCCCCCCACCTCCCATTTACTCCCTCCCCTCAACTCCTCCTCTGTTCAGGAAGGGGCAGGCCTCCCCTGGGAGTTGACAAAGCTTGGCATATCAAGTTGAGGCAGGACCAAGCTCCTCTCCCTGCATCCTGGCTGGGTGAGGCATCCCAGCATGGGAAATAGGTTCCCAAAAGCCAGCTCATGAGCCAGAGACAGGCCCTGATCCCACTGCTAGGGACCCTGCAAACAGACCAAGTTACACAACTGTCACCCACATGCACAGGGCCTAGGTGGGTCCCATGCAGGCTCCCTAGCTCCAGAGTCTGTGAGGTCCTATGAGCTCGGGTCAAGCTGTCTCTGTGGGTTCCCGTCATGATCTTGACCTCCTCTTTTTAATTTTTTAAAAAAGATTTATTTTTAATTATGTGTAGGTGTGCATGCCCGCATGTGGATCTGAGGAGATAGGGGGGTCCCTAAAAGCAGCTGGCTGGGATATGGCCAGTGGGGTACCTCCCACTTTGGACTCCACGAAGACACAGATGTGTAGGTCAGCTGCCAGCTCACAGCTGGGAAAAGGGACACAACAGAGCACAGCCACATTGCTGGGTGTGAACCATGCCCCTGAGCTGGAGGACTTCTGGCCACAGCGGGCAGCAGATGACAGGGAGTTAGGATGACCAAATGGCCAATAGAGAAAGCATGGGGCCTGTCGGCACCGCAGCCAGAGGTGCCGGCAGAGGCTCAGAGACCAGGTATACAGGATGAACTACCTTGAGATGGGGCTGGGCCAGAGCCCATCAGGGCCAGCGAAGCATCTTCAAGACTAAACATCAGTGACTGGCAGGCTGGCTCCCAATGACCCCGAGGAGCTAAGATCCCTGGTCACAGCTCACCTAATGTAGCACCCGCACTGTGACGTCAGGCGACTCATGCCCCAGAGGCTCTGGCCAGCTGAGACCATGCACCACCACCGGTTGTGGGGAGCAAAGCCCACGATCCCAGTGTCCCTGAGCAGAGGGAGGACCAGATGTGGCTTTTGTACCGTTTAGCATGCCTGGGAAATCGACTGCCAGTGTATATCACCCCAGAAGATCCACCGTGGCGTGGCCATCTCAGCACTGCGGACTCACGGCTTTAGGAATTCAAAGCAATATACAAGAGGGTATTTATGACTTTTATTTTAGTATTTTAATATTGAATACATGACAAGATTTAATGACCAAATTAGTCATTTACATTTCAAAGATATCTAAATATAAAATTGCTAAAAATTCAAATACACAGCAAGCTACAAATAATATTTCTTTTTTGGGGAGATAGGAATGGAAGACATTAGAAAAGGGTGCCCCTGTTGTCTGAACAGATCAGAATGAGAGAGACATTCATTCAGATGACCCCTTTGCAAGGAAACACACTTGACTCTGAGATGCTTAAACACAATGATTTAAAAAAATGTTTTAAAACATAGGTGCTTGAGATATTGGCCCATGGCGCTGGCCCAGGACAGTATGAGAAGATGCTGTCACAGGAGGGACCATGGTGAGGTCTGCAGAGGCATCTGGTGTAGTCAGAGGTGTGGTGTCAGGGTGCTGGGTACCTTGCCTTTTCTGCTCAGAACTTTGGGTGCAAGGACATGGGTTCCCCTCTACTCCCCTTTCCTCGACACAACTCCCTCAGCAGGCACCGGGAAGAGGGTAGGAAACAGGCTTCAGAGCCAGGGAGGCAGACTCTTCTGGATTCAGGTTGACCGTCTTATACTTGTTTTGAGGAAATGAGAGACCACTCTGGCTAGGAACTCAGTACCTGGAGACACACTATCTGTCACACTATCCTACCAGCACCTGTCTCTCAGGTCACAGGCGCTGGCATGTTGAGAAGGCCTTTGAAGGGGAAAATGATAGGCGCGCGCACGCACGCACGCACGCACGCACGCACGCACGCACGCACGGTCCTCATTCCTAACTTCTGTAAGATGCTATTCTCAAAGCAAATGAACTCATTTAAACAAATAGCATAGTTAACTACTGGCTAAACCCTAAACATTGCTTCTGAGAACTCCAACCACAGCCTTTGCAACCTGCCTGTTCAATACAGGAACAGATTTAAAAGAAGATAATACAGTCAATCCTCTGCCCCCCAAAAATGGTCCATCATACCAACCATGATAAGGAGTACACCTGTTTATTAAAAGGAAAAAAAGAAATGTACATTTTTGTTCCTTGTTTGCTTTAAGAAATGTGGTCAAGTTGCAAGGAGATGTCTGGCATGGCTATGTACATCCTGGTGGCACTGCCAGGCGGTGAACACGGCGGGGCTCCTCCAGGAGGTGGTCTGGCTCGGCGGCATTGCGACTGAAAGCCACTGCCAGGTTCCCGTCCAATGGCGATGTCCCTGGACTCCAGAGTAGGGCACCCCTACCTCTCCCCCTCCCCTAGAGCCCAGCAGCCCTATGCCTGGGAGCTCAGGCACTGCAGGATGAAGGCGGACTCTGGGCACCTGGCCCTGCAGACAAGCTGGGCTGTGGCGACAGATTGGAGGCCAGTGTCACTGCTGCCCTGATTTCTTCTCCTTCTGGAAGCTGAAGCTTGTACGTCTGTTCAGTTTTCTTTGTTTTTGAGCAAAATAGTCAGCCCGGGCGGTGCTCGCTCGTGACTCCAGGATGTAGTTGACCTAGAGAGCAAGAGGACATGGCTGTCACTTGGCAGCACTGGCTGTTCACCAGGCCAGAGCACGGGGTGGAAGGGACCTGCTTTGGGCTGGTGACCCTGGACTAGCTGCTTCTGCCACCACAGCCTGGCAGGCCAGCATGAGGCCCTTGCTTTACAGTGGACAAGGAGGCCAGTGCAGGCTGCTCAGTCACTTGGTGTGGGCTGCCTCCCAGAACGCCCCCTACTCCCAGCTTTGTCCAGTCAGCGCCACAAGCCCTGGTTGTCACATGACCCCCCCCTCCCCGCCCCCAGCCTCCACATCTGAAAAATATGGTGGGTGACGTCACAACAAAGCTCCCTTTCAGCCTCCTGACAGCCTGGCCTGGGACTCCCTCCAATGTCCACTGCACCCCACCAGCCAGAGCCAGTAAGAAAAGCGAGGCTGAGAGG